TATTTACAAAGATTTTGTTCCTATTTTTCCATTTTCTCATATTAATCCCATTCCCTTCTATCCTTTCCCCTAGCCCTCCCACTTCTTTCCTCTTTGCCCCTTTTCTGAGGAAGGGGTTTTTGATAGCCAGGGCAGCTTGTGACTTTAGACTTTGTTGGGGAGCCATTCACACCACACTGACTAAAACCTCTGCCCTGATGTGGCACGGAGGAACAGCTATAGGAGATGGACCTGCCACAGGAATTGCAACTCACAAACACCTGTGCTAATGGCTTGGAACTGGGCTGACAATTCTTCTTGTAAGAGGAGAAAGATCCATTTCCCAGTATAGCCTATAGTTCTGTAGGACTAGATCTCACTTTTCTGCCATAGACATAATGAGAAGGCTTTGTGTTAACTAGAGACTTCTCAGCAGATATTGAATCTATAGTTTCTTTGATCATGACTTTCCAGCCTGTGGATCTTACTCGAGTAAATGTTTGGTATCGATACCAAACATTTGGTATCGATACCAAATGTTTGGTATCGATACCAAACATTTGGTGTTCTTTTGGTGTTCTTTTATAGTAGCCTAATTGACTAAAGCAGTACCATTGGGACTTTAATGAAGACAGTGTTGAATCTGCTTTGTGTTGTGTGGACATTTAAAAAAATATCATCTTCCAATCTATGACAGTGGAGTGTCTTTCCATTCATTTCTGTCTTCTTTAATTTTAATTTTGTAGTTTTCAGTTTACAAACTCTTTATCTCCATGAATACTTAAGAAGTTTATTTTTATTTATTTTTTTGGTACCGGGAATCAAACTCAGGACCTTGCACTTGCCAGGCAGGTGAGGTGCCACTGAGCTACATTCCTGGCCCAAGAAGTTTATTTTTAAGTATGTATTTTACTCTTTTTGATGATATTTTAAATGAGATTTATTATGAGCTAAGGGCAGGTGAAGATGGGTGTTTGGGTGTTTTCTGTGGAGTAGATTTGATTTGAATCTTTGGTATGCAAGCTGAAGCTTTTTTTTATTAAATAGAGCATGTTCTGGGGGAATGAGTGATCCCAGGAAAGTACATTCTCTTGGAAACTCTCAAACTATCTCCTCACTGGATCCACCATCATGTCATGGGCTTTATTCATATACTCCTCATCCTCTTCTGTTTTTCTCCAACCCATGAAAAAAGAACAAAAGATCACTTGAAACAATCAGTTTCTAGGTTTCTTTCTTCCTTCTTACTTTTAGTCAGCCAATACTATAACAGCGCCATTTTAACACAATCAGTCTTTTGTGAGGCAGGAGTTTTTAGTTGAAATCTTTAAAATAGTTTTTATGAGAAAGAGGTGTGAATGCTCAGAGTGCTATGTAGAACACCTGTCTTACAAAAATATATGTGTAATCTACCAGTGCCTTCAAATGCGCAGAAACAGTTATCATCCTCTGGGATTAGACATAATGGAGCTGAGAGAGGCTCAGGAATACCAGACATTTCTCTGGGATTAACTGGGGAGGGGGTGGTATTTATTATCTGGACACGGTTTATGACTTGAAGGCAATGTTGCTATAACAGACGAGTCAGAACACTGTAAATACTCTGTACATTTGCAAAGGCATATAGGAGATCATTTACTTATAAGAAAATCAGGAAAACAGCCACAAGCAAAACCAGAAAGCTAAAAAGTTTAAGCAAATTTTCAAAGAGAGATGGGGATTCTTGTACAGTTCGGGTTTTGGTGGCCTTGAATGTTCTGTCCCACTGTGTCATTATGGCCTCTCTGGCTCCTTCCCATTTTCCTGTGCCAGTCAAGCGAAACTGGTATGGCGTGCATGGGCCAAAGAAGATGGTCAAAACCAGACGTGGGTCAGTTAGCAGCATAGAGAGCAGATTGGGTTTTGCATTGATAGAGGTCAGAAGTTCATCTATGTATGGGATATAATCTGACTGTAAAGGCTTGCAGTAGTCTAAGCCATACCTTTATAAAAAGATGGGGGAGACACAAAAATATCAAATTATTATAATCCCAGAACAAGTAAAGATAATCTCTGAACATTTGTCCTTAACAAATAAATGCCACTGCAGAATTTGAAATGGATCCTGTCTTCTCCCCTTTATCTCCATAGTATATTAATTATAACTATAGCATAACTATAGTCTCACACTATTAAAACTCAGTCATGATTGTACTTGTATAATATGGAGAGTCACAGAATTCCTGAGGGTAGAATTCTTGGTAATCCTATTATCAGGCCCTGGAATCATTCACTGACCAATGTGATAAGAAGCTTTAGTTATCTATCATACCAGAGTTCCATAACAGAGATTAAACTACAGCATAGGCTGAAAAGAGACACCTAAAATGCTTCTCTTGTTTTGGAATTAAGTACTTTGACAAGGATAGGTCAATACTTGAAGTTTAGGGATATACTATCGGAATGAAAGAAGTGATGACATTTTTATTACACGCAGTGATTTAAAAACTTTTTCTTCTGTCACAGAACCCTTTTACTTTTCAAGTAAAAATTTGCATTAAACCCCAGACAAACAGTAGAACAGATAAAATCTGAGATAGTTTAGTTGATTGGTGGGTCATTTCCCTTCCCTTGTTTCTGATCCTTGAGTGGTAGCCACAACACAGAGCACAAGGAGAAGCCTTCCTCTGGATAAGAGGCCAACACATTTATTCTGCAAAAAGCCATGCCATGGGCTTGGAGGGCCATACTAGAGCCTCTGTCTCTACTACTCAACTTTGCTGTGGTAACACAACAGCAACCATTGATGATATATGAAGAGTGAGCATGCAAGCATTGTAACAAAATTTTATGGCCACTGCAGTTTGAATTTCATATAATATTCACATGTTGCAAAATCTTTTTTTCCTACAACTATATGGAAATGAAAAGCAAAACCCCGGTGAGTGGATTTGGCCCACAGACCACTGCAGGCTGACACCTGCTCTGGAGCAGCAGCCTGCATGACAACAGTAGAACTGACACAGACCTGCTGAAGGAATGAATGAGCAGACACTTCTAGTACGCAGAGCTATTTGGCTGGTAATTGTGAATAAAGTATGGAATAATGTACCTGGTAGATGAGGGTTAGTTATGCTTGGTCTGGCTTCTAAACACTGTGTAATGCCAGATAACCATCTTCTGAAGTGACAATTCTAGGGAAATGGAAACTTCTCAATTTGCCCTTTCTTCCTCTTTCCTGTAAAGGCTGTCCTTCTTTTTCTTTTAAGTCTCAGAGGCTTCTTCCCTTTGCTACAGTGTAACTCTCATCTCTCTGCTATTGTTTGACAATTTCAGTTAGGACTCAAAAAGGATGCCCAAGGAATTCACTCACCCACTGTGCTTATTTTTGTTCCTTTCATTGACTTCTTTTATCATGACACTTGGCGGTGGTAACATACTAACACCTATAAAACAAACAGAAAATGTGATTTAACTTTAGGTCGAGGTGTTTACTGATGGATAAAATGTTTTACTTCTGCTCATTTTTCCTTTCTATACCCTGAGCCAACTGGTGGTATCCCTCTGGCATTAAGGCTATCAACTGAAGAGATAAATGTCTGGTCATGCCACTAGTTATTTGATATGACATAGTCACACAACTAGTTTGACTCAATTTTGTCACTCAGTTGACTGAACTTTTAAATTTTAGATGAACTATTTGAGTCAAAATAATAGGCAGACACAGCTTATAATTTTCGAGCCCTGATTTATCATTTCTCCTGGTGATAGTACGTCATTATGACAGAATAAATCTAATTCAGTGGATTCAGAGAACAATAGAATGGATCCTGTTTTTAAAGACTTTTGTTTTAAATAAGAGCTGAATAATAGTCTTGAAATTTCCAGTATCCAAAGTCACACGGCAAATCAGAAACATATACCCTGGGGCTGGGGATTTAGCTCAGTGGTTTCACCGCCTGCTGCGCAAGGGCAAGGACCCGAGTTTGATCTCCGGTACCAAAAAAAAAAAAATTACACCCTGCTATTTCTCATGTACTTACCTTTCAGGACTTGAACAACCCATCGAGCTTGTGTTTCTCCTGTGGGTATCATGGAGCCCAGGGGTTTGATGAGGCCAATAACAGCCAGGGTTGGTTTTTGCAGATGAGCGGGAAAGATATACTTGTACAATGATGCCTGGCCATCTTCAACTTTCACCACCGATTCATCAAGGAAGGGGAATGCAAAGGTGTATCCAGTGGCAAAAACAATGATATCAATGGGTTCTTCTTTTAGGGTGTTGTTAAATATGACAGAATTTGCCTTCACTTCCTTTATGCTTGGCTTGATCAGCACTTTTCCGGTGATGATACGGCCCGGGAGCTCATCATTTAGCACAGGCTCTCTCAGCTGAGTCCTGACCAAGACAAGGACAGGAAAGAGATCTGCTGGTGAAAAGTGTAGCTAGCCCCCATCTTTGTTTTCTTCCTCTCTCCGTTTTGAGGCACTCACCGTGCTAGACAAGAAAGAGCTGCCTGTTTAGGGAGATGTTGCCTCCAAGGGAAGGACGCATAATGTCCAAGGGTTATAAAATATGTACCATTTACTAGAGTTTGGAAGTGAAGGAACTTTCTCTAGCTTCTGCTTGTTTTGATGATGTTTAGCTATCACTGTTGTTCTAGAGATAGCTCGAGGCTGAAGGGCTACAAGGAAAAGCAGGGACTTCCATATCTGATGAGAGCTGTTAGATGCTCTGTCCAGTCCTTCCTCTTAGAAGCCAATTATTTAAGGAACATATGAATGTGTTCAAAAGGAACAAGAACAGACTCATCTTTTTCTGTCTCTGTACTTGGAATCATAAGACTAGCACTATGTGAGTTGGTTTTCTATAAGCCGAGTCGTGTTTGGCTTATGCTGAATAAGCATAAGTGTGGCTCAAAAGAAATTGAACTGGTGTGGGAAGTAGTAAGAATGGTTTCTTTTCCAGTTGTGTGCTTCAATTTAACAGAGCTTGAGCAAGTCATATGGTCCCTGTGGGCTTTCTTCTATTCATCTATAAAATAAGGATACTAACAGCTTGCCATCTTTAGGCCACTGGAATGGACAAGCATATGAAATTAGGTGGAATCAAAGAGCGTATGACGCATATGATAGGATATATGTAGGATCTTTGGAAATGGTAAAGGATTAACTACATCAGAAAGAGAGAAGCGTTATAATTCTTTAGTCCTGTGATCCACCATTAAGGCGAGATAAAATTTATAGTAAAAAGAACTATGATGGAAAGAGTCAAAGCTCCTGAGAAGCCTGGAGGTGGGAGAGAAATAAGAAATAAGAAAAAAAATGAACACAATAGAAAGAGGCAAGTGTCGAGAAGAAGGCAGAAGTTCATGTGATGAAGGGGAGGCTGCGTGCCACTGGTGATGGTGTGGACCATTGGTCCATGTGGGAGTCCGGAGTGAAATTTTGAGGGAGAACAGACAGGATCTCAGTGTTGTAGTCTTCCCTGCTAATGGATTTTCACAGTAGAGACTTAGCAAATAAAAAGTAAAACATTTGGTTCTTGATAATGGGGTAAGTCATAGGTTGTAACTAAAGGGACAGACTAAACTTAAGATTGTCTTGACCAGGGCAAGAAGGCACTGTCACTAGAAAGATGGAAGGACAACTATAGGATTCAGTTTTTCTAGGACAATGAAACAATGCAAGTGTGTTGCTTTTGTCAACAAAATCATAGACAAATCATTTGCTTTTGTTTGCTGCAGCTCACCGAGGTCACACTTTCTCACTACTAAATTGTTGGTTTTTTTTTTTTTTTGGTGCCAGGGATCGAACTTGTGACCTTGTGCCTGCAAGGCAGGCGCCAGAACCACTGAGCTAAATCCCTGGCTCCTTTCTCACTACTAAATGAGCTCAGGAAAGTGACTAAATTTGGCTAGGTCTCAGTTATCCCATAATGAAAGGGGGATTATACCTAATAATACTTACTCTAAAGAGCTAAATACATAATTTCATTTACCAAGCACTTAAGAACAGCTATTATCATCACCAGTAAATTTGTATGGAAAATATTAAACCTCCAGGCATATTGTCATAATATTGCATGGTTTGTATTGCACTGGAAAGATTCAGCTTCCATCTCTCTAGTAATTTCTAGAAACTTTTTTTTTTTTTGGTACCGGGGATTGAATTTGGGACCTTGCGCTCGCGAGGCAGACGGTGGCAGCACTGAGCCAAATCCCTGGCCCTAATAGTTTTTGGTATATACATTACTTACTTGTTTTCTGGTATTAAACCATAATTTGCATGATTGAACCAGCTGTTCATCTTTTTTGCTATCAACCAAGTCACAATTGGAGTTGGGAGAAAATTTCTGAATGCATTTTGAAATCGTGTCATGAACACCATGTCCCATGGGTACCCTGAGTCAAAGACTCGACTGATCACCCACGATCCTCCAGTGGTGCTGAGGAACACCTGGAAGTAATCAAAGAACTTTGAGAAGAGTCAGGAGTTAAAAGGCACCCTCAAAATACACCCTTGACAAGATAGTCTCATTTCTTTTAACAACTATTTAAAAGTTATTCTTTTGGAATAACAGTGTGAATATATAAAGCATTAAAATGTCTTAGGACACATTAATGAGTGCTTATTTGATAGCCTGGAGTTACTATGGCAAGCCCTCTGAAGCTTAAAGTCTCATGTGAGAAGACAATGAACAGGTGAATACAACTCTCTACTGTAATTATAGCAAATAAGAACAGGATGGAGCAGAAATTTGGAGTTTTCTGTGAAGGTTATTTCAGCACAAACCACTGGTTTAACTGGCATTAAAATTTACTAATACAATTAGTTGGGGTGTTTGCTCTTTCTTTCTTTCTTTTTTTTTTTTTAACAAATGGCTCCTTGAGATTAGTAGCTGACTGGGTTCATTAAAGCTAATAGTTGTTTTGGTATCAATACAATAAGGAATGTCCTGTATAACTGTTTGAAAACAAAAAATTTAGTTAAAGGGCCAGGGATTTAGCTCAGTGGTTCTGCCACATGCTTCCCAAGTGCAAGGACTCGAGTTCAATCCCCAGTACCAAAAAAAAAAAAAAAAAATTTAACCAGTAGTTACTTTACTGATACAAAACAATGGACCTAATAGATTGATTTTTTTCTTCCACCAAACTGGGGCATGAAGGCCACAGCCACAGTGTTAGTGTTTTTGTTTGACCTTATAACATCATGAAATGGTTTACACAGCTGGCATGTCACAAGAGCTTCGGTGGTTCTGACATGAGCTATGTGTGTTGATCTGGCCTCTGTGTGTCTCAGTGCAGAAGCAGATAGGATAGTTTGTTCTAAGTCAAGGACACTTTGTTTTCTGATACAGAAATAAGATATATGACAAAACAACATGTTTTCTTCCTCTTCTTCCTCCTCCTCCTCCTCCTCCTCCTCCTCCTCCTTTCTTTTTCTGGTACTAGGGATTGAACCATGGCCTCACACTGACCTAGATCCCCTTCCCTTTTTATTTTGTATTTTATGTCTCAAAAGGGTCTCACTAAATTGCCCAGGCTGGCTTTAAACTTGTGATCTTCCTGCTTTAACCTCTTGAGTAGCCATTGTATCTGGTTCCAAAGCGTGTTTTCTGATTGAAGAAATTTCCAAATGATTAGAGAAGCAACAATGATTAGAGAAACAACAAAAAAATAATATGTACCCACATGTAGCAGTCATAGTGGATGGACCTGTGTTACCCTTTCAGAAAAAAAAGACTTAATGATTGATTCATTGATCGATAGGCTCATTAATTGATTACAAGGAACTTAGCAATGTGGCAGCATTATCCTGAAGTAAGAGAACAGAGCTCCTGAAACAAAAGTTATCACAGGTCCATCCGCTAATGAATGCCACATGTAGGTAAGAGGTGTTATTAGCATTTCAATATGAGAGTACATATGGGAACAGACTATGCAGAGGATTTGCTTGTTGATGGGTGTGTTCTGCATGAATTCTTGAGAGTGCCAAGGATGGAGTGCAGGGAGAGGTGCCAGGATAAAGGGAAGAATTAGGAGCATGGGCTTTGGGTGAAAAATGCTAGCGTTTGAGGACTGGCTGTACCATTCTCTAGTGGTATGGCATTAGGCAGGTGACCTGACCTCTCTCAACCCTAGTTTCTGCATCTGTGGCTGGGGATACTGATAGTATCTACTTCAGTGGCTTGTTTTGATGACTAGTTGAAATAATGCAGTGAAAAACCTTAAGTGCAATGCTTAGCAAACAGTAATCTCAAAAAATATTTATGGTTTCTGTAATTATTCTTCAGAAGACAATGCAAAAGTCTGAGTGTGAGACCTGGCAATAAATAAGGAAAGAAGTGGCAAATGAAAGACAAGGAAAAATGACCAGGATCTTTTGACCTATAGGACTGAATAAGGAAGAGATGTCTTTAGCTCTTGTTGAATAGCCAGGAAAAATGACAAAAATACGGTCAGAGAAGTTGGGTTTAGAGGAAAGATGACAACTGGAATTCACTGTAAAATTTATGAACACTCAATAAAAATACTTTTTAAGTACACTGTAGCTGAGTACAGTGGTGCAGCACTCTGGCAGACTGAGATAGAAGGATCACAAATTTGAGCCCAGTATAGGCAACTAAGAGATTTAGTAAGACTCTATGTTAAAATTTAAAAATTAAGAGAAATGAAAGGTCTGGGCATGTAGTTGAGTATGAAGGCCCTGGATGCAGTCTCCAGTGCCACCAGAAAAAGAAAAAGTTTTGGGTGTTGGCATTTTTAATCTTTAACACTTATAGTATCAAACAACATTTACTTGAGACATGCATGTTAAGATAAAGCTCTTCATTAAGCAGTACCAAGAATGGCACCTTTTTTGCCAGGTGGCTGGCCTCCACAGCAATGTCTGTGCCAGAATTTCCCATTCCAACCACAAGCACCCTCTTGTCCTTAAATACGTCTGGATGTTTATACTCTCGGCTGTGAAAGTACTGGCCTTTAAAGGTATTTATACCTGTAGAAAAAGCAAAGACAAATAGGGAATTTATAGAGTCAACTGATATTTTTCAGTTGATAATATCCTTTTGACACATGATTTTGGTTATTTTTACCAGTATACTTAAGTTTGAGGAAATCTAAAATATGAACACATGACTTTACAAAATGTAATTATGGGTAAAGATGGGTAATAACTCCATTTCACTAAATAGGCCTCTAGTTGTCTTACTAGATGATCAACTACTAAGTCAAAATATCGGGGCAAAAGGTAATGTTAAGCAAAAGTGTAAGGAATCATTACCATTTTAAGGTTGATGAAGCCAATGAGGTGATAATATTCCACTTACTAATATTTGATTTATATATACTGTACTACTTTTCATGAACTAGTAGCAAGAACAATGACATTAAAGGGAAATAGAATCAGTGCTTCCACTCAGCAGACTTTTGGGAATATCTACTACGTACCTGGCACTGTGTTAGATGATACGAGGGAAATAAGATAGGTGAAACATGTTCCCTGTTTACAAAGATCTGTGTGAGTTGGAGAAGTTCACTGGTAATTCACCTTGGTACTGACTGTAACTCAGGCTGAGTTTACTGAGTGAGCCAGAGTTGGCACAGAGAATAAAGGGCATGTCTGTGACACCAGGGTTACTATTGGACTAACTACTGTGGATGTCTCATGCAGCTCGAACCAGATCTTATTGCGACATTCAATGCAAATGGAGAGCTTTTGAAAATACTTTCAAAACTGTGTTACACAATCATAAGTAATATTTGCTGAGAAAAAAGAACCTAGTTTTTCTAAGATAAAGAAAAAGTGATAAGACATCCAGATTCTCAGGGGATAGATATGTATGCTCATGAGAAGTGGACTTCCTTTGGAATTGCTGGCTGCTCTTTGGCTCACTTTGAATCATTAGAACTGTAGCATGAATCCTGGTAATCTATCCATGATCCAGAGCATTTAAAATTTGGCAAGGATGCCATCAAGTTCAAATATTTACTCAGTATGGAAATCCTATATGAATCAAAGAACTGCTGAGAAAGTAGAGCTGGAAAAGCCTAAGGAGAATTGTAGAATTCTCTCTAGATTTTTAAATTACCATAGATTCTGTCAGTATTAGATTGTTTTGGGTCACAGATGAACAATGAGACTGTGTGGCTGAATTTCCTATGGACCAATACTTTGCCCTCTTACCTTGTAGGAGGACAGAGTAAGAATTCATATTGGGTGAATGTGTTGTGTTGATAAGCACCAATATGTATATGAACAAAAGTAATCATTTTGGGAAATTATACATCTATTTTACCTGTGATATCTATTTCTTTACTGAGACTTTTGGGCTCACTTTGGATTTGCTTTCACATCTTGCAAAACATGTTTTTTATATCTTCAGTGAATCTGAACTTTTGTCACAGTTAACAAATCCCCCAAGGAATATGTACAGTCTAAGCAAGTCTGCTGGAAGGCAGGTGGGATTGGGAGGACTCCATTGCAAATCTAGAATCACAGAACCTTAGAGCTCAAATGGTCCTTGACAGTCATTTAGCCAGGGATTTCAGATTGGTAGTGCCTGATAAAATGGAAAGTAAAAAGGATGACAAATCTAAGAGCCTCTCTTGCTTGATTTGGATGCACACCACTGGGAAAATTTATGCAAGCTCATCTATTTACAGTGGGAAAAAAGAGGGTTAGAAAGGTGAAGAGGGAGGCTGAAGAACACAAACTACTTAGTTGTATACCTTCTGAATCCCAATGTCATTTCACTGAAAGTGAGTACACTGGTTTAATTGTTTTCAGGGTATGCTTTATCCTAATCTGACATGACTTAGGGTGGATCCAGGACCATGGTAAGTATGAGTTTATTGAACATGAGTGTTGGAATCACTGCATGTCATACACAGAGTGATTCTTCCCTTGATTCCCTTCTGTACAGACTGCATGCTGTCATATCCACTCCTGTATTCTTAGTGCCTTGTGTTCTATACTGTAGGTACTGAATAAATGCAATTTCACTATTCCATGGAACTTCCTAGATTTTTGGTTACCCTGCATCAGGTGCTTCTTCCTGAGAGAATGGAGAGGTTGACTGCTCAGGGCTTTGCTCTGCAGGTAGGAATGCACAAAGGGTTCTGTTATCTTGTAGGTCCATGAGAGTCCATCCTTCAGTTTGTGCAAGCAGAGACTTTTGAGTCAGGGATGTTTGAGAAAAACTTTCTGCATTAGGGAAAAGATTGAACTTGGATCTTTTCCACTCCATGATTCTTATGGCAGCTCTCAGGATATACTCTATCCTGCTCTGAGCTGATTGAAGTGACCCCTGGGGCAGATCCAGGACCATTGGAAGAACAGAGTTTATTGTTATGTGAGTTTTGGGATCACTCAGGCTGTATCTAGATGATTTGGAGAAAAGTTTTCTCAAACTCTTTGAATGTTTACTAGGTGAAATAGACTAATCATTGCATTTTCTATTCCCTTGAGTTGAAATCCAGTTGAAATTTGACAATAATTAATAGTCATGGTTGCAAAATTCAGATAAAGAAACTGAGACCCAAAGATATATTAACTTATCCTCCAAGATTCATTGCCCTGTTGGCTATTGATACAGTGCCGTAAACCTCTGATCTAGTTAATTGGTATGGTTCATACAAAGCAAACGAATGAAAAATCAGACTACTTTTTTCTTTACACACAGATTTACCTTTGTGGCCTCTAAGGTCAACTTTGGCAATGTGCAACTACATGATGCAAGCAGCTTATCTATGTGGCTTGTATTTCAGCAGAGGTTCTGAGTTCTGTTTTTCATTAGGGAGGCACGTGGAACCTCAGTGAAGCACAAGTCTGTTTAGTAAGTTATCCATCATTCTCTTCTGTTTGTTTGAACTGGGTGGAAACAGTTCTGGCTAGAAAAAAACCTGTTACCTCAAGAATTTAGCCATTGAATACAGATGTGATAACAGTCCATCCCCAGACCAGTCAAGTATCAGGATGAATCCCATAAGTAAATTGAAATTCATTTTTAGAAAATGCTGTACCTGGAAAGGAACTTATTGGCAAATTAGGGTTAGTGAGAAAACCAGTGCAAACCATGACAGCATCAAAGATGGCTGAGTTTTGCTTCCCTTCATGCACAGTGACTACTTCCCATTGGCCAGAGACATCAAAATCTGGGCACTTTGTTACACTGCAGATTTTGGTCTGAAAAAGAATCACAGGCATGATTAACAGTTCCACTAAGAGCTTGCTGGCTGATATAGCAGTTAACATTTCAAAAGTTCTAGACAACAGAATAAACATAATAAGCGGAACACTAGAATTCTAATCAGGCTATTGGCCTGATCATGGTTTCTTAGATGGAAGTATTCTAAGCCTAGAGTTTGGAAGGGTATCTTAGAGAATTGATAGGATCAAAAGTTCTAGAGCACAGACCAAACATATTTGGTAAGAAGAACCCTACAATTTTAATTGAACTATCAGCCTAATGATGATTTCTTGGATGGAACTATTCTAACCTAGAGTTTGGAAGGGTATCTTCGAGAAGTGGTAGAAATCCAAAAATCTTAACTGATTTGTTCAAATTTTCACAGAAAGAGATAGGATCAAAGATTATAATCTAGGTTTCTGATGTATTTCTGTTGTGTACCTTATTTTACATAGAGTTTTCTCTTTAACAATAGTTCCTTTAATAGAGACATAGATTATATTTAACTGAAAATACAAAATTGGTACCAAGTATCTAAGGTTATGAAAGGTCTTATAGAATATGTTGCTGAAATTTCCTCAGGTCTAAAGAGCTGTTGAATAGTGCTAACCTTATGGCCTGAATATTTTAGGAGTGGTCCAAAGTTTTAAAAATCTAGTTTTCATTCTCATTGAGTGCATATATGTCCATAAGTACTAAGTTCTGATTTAGGAAATTAATTAATTTTATGGTAACAGAGATTGAACCCAGAGCTTCATGCATTCTAGGCAAGTGGCTCAGCCCTGGCCCTGGGAATTATATTTATAGTAAATCTAACACAAATCAAATTTAAAAGAAAAAATTATTCACTAACCAGAATTTACTGCCTTTTTTTCCTTTTCAAAGTTTTCAAAAAAGATGAGCTTCTCAGGTTTCTTCTAAGGAGTTTACTGTTTGGCTTTCAGTATTCAAATGACCTATTGGACATCTGCATTTGTGTTAGCAACTCTGTTTTCCAGAAAAGGTGTCATTAATCTTGCCACTTCAGCATGTCATGTGCAGAAACTGGGTGGTTATGCTATACACAGATAGTAGAAAATAGGCAAATATTTCCTAACTACTAATTGATGTTTTGTTTCTTACCTTGAATTGAATGTATTTTAGAAGGTTGAACTGCTTTGCATACAGTTTAAGATATTCTAGAAATAGATCATTGGGTACAAAGTTTGGATAATCTTCTGGGAATGGAAAATCTGAGTAACAAGACATCTCTTTGCTGCTGTTGGATACCACAGACTTGTAGAGACTGGCTCTTCCTTCTTCAACATGTTCCTGTACAAAGAACACACACACATGAGCATAAACACACACACACACACACGATGATAATTTTTTTAGAAATATAAAACATTGGCCAAGCTTAAGGTGATACATGTGATATATGGTACCTGCCACCTTCCTAAAGGGCGTTGCTATTCACCCTTCCGACAACAATGAATATTGGGCCCTAGTATAAAATACATGGTCAAAATTACTATTTTATTCACTACATGCTAACAAATAAGTCTGGAGCGAACTGACTTGTTCATAAACAACCACTATCACTGCAAAGTATAGAACAATATAGAAATGGAAAAGAGCTTAGATGAAGTTTTGGGATGATGAATAATTGCTAAGCATTTTGCTTTTATGGAATATTCTTGAAAAGATCATGGAGAAGTGGGTTTTATATTATGAAGACTTTGTATCCAATGTTAAGGTATTTGGGTTTTTATAGAAAGGTCATGGCAATATACTGAATATTTTAAACATGGTGGTGATTCCTATTGAATTTTGGAAAGATACTGGTTCTACAAAAGATGAATTAGAGAGGGTTCAAGAAAAGAGAAGGAAACTAAGATCCTAAATTACAAATCTATTTGATGCTAAATGAAGACTTGAGCAGAAGTAATGGCAGCTGGAAAACAGAGTAGGGATTTGTTTAATAGTATGGATGTAGAGCACATAGAATTTACAAGACCAGTTGAATTTATGAGGGAAAAGAAACAGGTTAAAGATTCCCATATTGGAAAAGTGTGATAGCATACTCTTAACTACTTTCCTAACCCCAGTTTTGACTTGAATAACTTGTAAACATTAATGTCTTATAATATTATCAGAGATTAAGTAATAAGGATACAGTGAAGTCTTTATCTGTACATTGTTTCTGGATTGGATAGTGTTATGGAGGCTTGTTCTCCTGAGTGAGAATATTCTCAGTATTTTACTATTATTTATCATCTTGGATATGTAGGTCCTGTTTCCATGGAAATAAAAATTATTTTATATATGTAGGCAAGTGGAAATACAAACAAAAATCTCACATAAGAAAACAACCTGTTCTATTTCCCTAAAGGGTATGGATCTAGAATTTCATGAGATGTACATCAGTCATAGAGGAAAAAATTATAAATATAACTCTGTGGTTTCAGTTAGTGCTACTGATCATATCAGTTGGCATGCATTGACTATAATAACTTCCTTATCTGCAACCCCCCATCTGACAGCCCCACTTATTCAGAGTATAGCTAGAAAGCTAGAAGCTAAAAGTCTCTGAGAAAGATGACAATTTATATCTTGATCTTTTATTCTTCTTGGACATCTAAATCACTGGTACTCAAAAGTAGTCTGTAGAGTAGTACCAATATGAACTGGCTGTTACCAATCTGTGACCAGATAAATATGAAATCGAGAGTAAGCGATTAACACCACTTTTGGCAATAATTTGACATTGCTCAATATCCAAGCATGTGGATTCATTTTTGTTGCATAAAACATAGATTGGTCTTGGTGCATTGTCTAACTTGTGTGTTGACTTGCGTGGAGTTTGAGCTGTGCACTAATCACACACAGTAAAAGTGCATTATATTGTATGATGTTTAAGGTTAACGTGAAATTGTTATTCTAAAGTGCTTAAAATCTGCAATCATTTTATTTAATTGAAAATAGCCTATATTTAACTATAAGTTTACAGGATAAATCATTTGAACTGTCTACTGATAAAAAATTGAAGATAAAATTTTTAAAAAGAATACTTTGAATTTGCTGAGACTGCTTTAAAATCTCTTCTTCCACTTGAATCAATGAAACCCTGTCAGCCTTGTTTCTCTGCTTTAGGTATGACTAATCAATACTTAAAAGTAGTTTAAACTTAAATTTTTCCCCAGAAAGAACAGTCATCCACCCAGTCCAGCTTATATATATTGATCAGTAAAAAGCATGCTTAATTCTCACATTATAAACCTTAGATAATATCAATAGAGTGCATTCAAAGTGTGCCTGCCAGTGTTTAATATGGTGAAGTGCTATTTCACACAAATGTTTTGTTTGGCCAAAAGGTACAGTAATAATAATTAATAATAATTCTCTCTTCTCTATCTTAATTGCTTATTGTGTGTATTTTCAAAGAACAATGTGTTCAGGCTGGGGATTTAGCTCAGTGGTTTCACCCCCTGCTGTGCAGGCACAAGGACCTGAGTTCAATCCCCAGTACAAAAAAAAAAAAAGAACAATGTGTCCATTATTGTAATTGCTTTCTTTTATTCCTGTTTTGTGTTTAATATTTATTGAAATTAATCTTATGATTTCTGATTCTATGCAACTTTCTGTGTTTATTATATTTTGTACATTTTATTGTTATTTTCATTTTTTATAAAAATTAATTTTTATTATATTTAACAAATAGTAGTCTATCATTAATTAGAAATTAAGAAAAAAACAGTTGTTCTATATGGTTTGCAAAGCACAACTCCCTAGACACTCTCTAGTACTTTTGGCTGTTGTTAAGATTTGCCTGGGAAATCTTATTAACAGGAAGAAGCTGCTTGACCAGGTCTAGATGAGCCTGAAATTCTACGCTCTTAACAGGCTCCTTAGTCACATTTACACATTTTATTTATATGCTGCTAGTCTGTGGGCCAAGCTTTGAGTGAGGTCTTTATAATAGCACTGCCCAGGAGTGGGTACATACAGTACACATGTACTTTTTTTTTTTTTTTGTACCGGGGATTGAACTTGGGCCCTTGTGCTTGCAAGGCAGGCAGTGGAACCACTGAACTAAATCCCCAGCCCTACACATGTACTTTTAAATCTTTTCCTAGCCATATTAGAAAAGTAAAGAGAAACAAATGAGATTAACTTTAAAAGTATAGTTTACCTAAAAGTAAATATATCCAAAATGTTATACTTTCAACATATAATCAATACCAAACTTTTAGCATTTTCATTCTTTTCCTCGTACTATCTTCAAAATCTGATGTATATTTTATACATATAGAATCAAATGTTAAATTTTTATTAGAAAAAGTATATGCAAATACCCAAGTTGATGTAAATATACTTAGAAGTTTTATAATAACCACACTGAGTTTAATTAAAATTAAATGAAACAAAAAATTGTTCCTTAATTACAGTAGCTACATGTCAAGTGTTTTATAGCTATGTGTGGATAGTGGCTGCCATGTTGGATAGTGCAGTTTTAGAACTTCATCAGACCTGAAGGTGGATGTTACAACTGAATGTAAAATTGATTTGACTTTGTCAAAACATTAACCAGCTATCCTCTGGGTTATAGGAATAAGAAAGGAGTTATAAAGAACTGTAATGTTGAAATGAGAATAAACAGCAAGAAAACAAACTGCAGGATTGACAGAAAAATCATCACTTATAAATATTTTGGAATCAATTAGTGAAAGGCCTACTTTCCTTTATGTTTCTCTGGTTTCCCGGAACATCACATGGTAAGTGCTTTGTTGTTAATGTGATCATCTTTTAGGAAACAATAATACAGGCTAAATTTGACACACATGCTGTTTAAGGAGGTAGTTATATATAATACACTTTGCAAAGATTTTCCTAAGAATAGTTCAAAAATTTACAGCATTTTTAATGGCATGTTTAAACCTTAGAGAGTAATGGGGACTCATTGGCACTGGATAAGCCAGAGAATCATGAATTTTATGAGATTTTAAAGCAAATGAACAAAGAGAAAAATTAAGGGGGACAAAACCCCCTGTATTTTGCAAAACTTAGGAAGATAATTGTAAATGTAGCAGGAAGCAGAGCTTCCAGGAAACACAGCTATTGTGAAATAATGCATCACAGATGTTAGCACATGAGAAGCTGTGGTTTATAAAGGAAACTTAGTAGGGTGCAATCCAAGATGAACTCTGCTCTCTTCTCTGTTTCCTCCTGTTGATTTTTTTTCTGCTGGAAAAACACAAGTTCTGGAGTGGTTACCACATACACAAGGAGCACTTCTGAATGGCATTTTGGGGTTTGGGGCCCTCCTCTCCAGAGTTTGCCTTGGTCAGCAATCTGCCTGGGTGATTCCAAAGGCCCCTGGGCTTCTCCCCGAAACCTCTTCAGCTGCAGACACTCCTGGCATTGTCCCTGTCTGTGTGTGCCAATTGCCCTGGCACTCCGAGTGTGGGAGCTCATGCCCTCTGGGAACTGATGGGGCATTTAGGGGAAGATTTTGTTCTCATGAAGGGAAAAATGATTGAGAGAGGAGAAGAGGAAAAGAAAGATGGAGTGTGGAAAAGGGAAATGAATAAGAGCATGCCTGGCGGGGTTCTTGGCTTTCCGCTCCACTTCAGTTCGGTAGCTCAGTGGGAGATCACCATTACCCACTGGGGCACTTGGTGGGACTCCACATAGCACAGCTAGAGGTCTGATTCTTGAGCTGTGAAAGAGACTGCAGATGCATGAAAAGGCGTTTTCATGGGTGTTCAAAGCACAGTCCCAAGTCAGACTGCCCAGGTCAATATTCCAGCTCTACAGCTTTCAGCTGGGTGATCTTTGGAATTTTCTTAAGCTTCATGTGTCTCAGTTTCCTCCTGTGTACATAGGAACATCAGTGGTACATACTCTAAGATAAACAGAAGTGATAACTGCAATGCATTTAGAACAGTGCCTGATAAGCTCTCAATAAAGGTTAACTATTTTCCATGTGATTTTTCCATAGCTTTCAAGGGGATTTACCTTCTTGAGCCTGTTGGCAATGGGAAAAAACGGTCAGATCAAATATCTTTTCTCATTTTAAAAACTGACTGAGGGCCGAGGATTTAGCTTAGTGGTTCCGGCGCCTGCCGCGCAAGCGCAAGGTCCCAAGTTCGATCCTTGGTACCAAAAAAAAAAAAAAAAGAAGGTTTATCTTAAAAACTGACTGAAAATGATAATGAAACTCCTCACTAGAGACCTTCTCTCCATACTGGCATCATTCATACCCCCTGAGCCTCAAGGTTAATTGTTCTTTCTTCTTTCCCTTTAGTTGGAACCAATACCACTATTTGCTGCCCCCTCTCCCTGGTGAGATTCAGATTGGCACTGGAGCACAGGGCCCAGATCCTGGGCCTATAGCACAGGAGAGCTGTGGCAACTTCAGAGGAGGTTGAGGGTAGGGGCCTGTCAGGTGTATCCCAATATGCATAGCAGAAACTTGGTAAATATTTATTAAATATATGAATAAAAGGAAACCTACTGAGGATACTGGAATTTTAGAAATAAGGCCTTCAAAGAAAAGTTGTAGGTAGGAATCAGGTTTACCAAAAAGGAAGACATAGCTAAGGAAAAACCTTTCAGTGATTTAAGGGTGTGAAATGTGTTTACCCCTCACAGTACCCTCGCTGAAAGTAAAAATGTAAGGTGTGTAAGACATGTAGTAGGTGACCAGTAAAGGTTTGCTGAATAAACGAAAGGATGCACTAGCAGAAGAAAATGTCTGGATGCAGATTAAAGAAGGATATTGGTCCAGGGAAATTGTTACACCTTGGAATATGTTACACGAATTTGAAGGATGAAGCAGAATGTGTCTTACTAATAGAGTTGTTACCTCTAGTTTTTTAGTGTTGAAAAATCTTTCAACTACTCTTTCATGACTGAGTTCCCTCCCCATCAGGAGTCTGCAAGGTTTGGCTGTGGCACACGAAGTTTCAGATGTGTCGCCCCTGCACTTGAGGTGCTGGTTAGCTAGAGGTGGTTCTTTACCAATGTGTCCCATTGCTTTTTTTTTTTTTTTTTTTTTTGGTACTGGGGATCGAACTTAGGACCTTGCGCTTTTGAGGCAGGCGCCGGAACCACTGAACTAAATCCCTGGTCCTTCCCTGCATTGCTTTTTTGTTTTTTTGGTACCGGGGATCGAACTCGGGTCCTTGTGCTTGCGCAGCAGGCGGTGTAATCACTGAGCTAAATCCTCGCCCCCCTGCCCATTGCTTTTTAATAACTGTCATCCTCTCTTCTGTCCCAACATACGATAACCTTGCTTTTCAGCTGCACTTTGTCAGCATCCTCTGTCCTCAGGCTGTGGTAGTTGGGAGCAACCAGAATCGTACCCTTGGCGGTATCACGGGAAGTGATTTATGGGAATGGGAACTGTCCTCGCCATATATTTTGTTGGATTTCTGCACTCTGCCTCTCTTTTTGCATTATGGTTTTTCTGCTTATATCGGACACTAAGGGTCCCACTTGGTGTATACATCTCCTGGCAATGGCTAGAGCAGTCTAATTCTGCAGGTTTTGAATGAACTTCCTGCTCTGCATGCCAAAATTCCTCCGACCCGTCTCCTGTAGAGTGTGCGTGCGTGGCGTGCGTGCGTGACATGCGTGGCGTGCGTGCGTGTGTGTGTGTGTGTGTGTGTGTGTGTTGGGGAAGGAGGAGAAAAGGGATGTTTCTGGAGAGACTGCAATGACTCAAAGCATGTTGGAGCTGGAAGGCACCCTAAGCATCACCTAGTTGGGGATTTTCCATCAGCCTTTAAGAGAATCTTAAAAGTATGTCAGAGGCATTTCAAGAGGCTGCAGTACCAAGATGGAGCTGCTAAGTAACGGTGTGTGTTGGGGACTTTCCTGCTTCCCAGGCCACTAGAAATTCAGCTGTACCTGTTTTTCAAACTGGCCCCATATTTTCATTTTATAAGCTAGGTAATAGGGGTGGAATAACTTGTTAATTGGGTGTCATTTTACCTTGCTAATCCTCTTAGATGTCTTCTTCATGACCTTTTCACAGTGATTTTTCATGTCTTTTCTGTTTGTCTAATTCTCTGTCTCCATTTAGCACCCTAACACCCTCTTCATCATTCCTATCTGCCATTTTTTCCAGAAAGAATTGGGGCCTCTGGCATGTGTGCTCTTGCAGCCTCTCTCCTTATCACTGTCTTCATTTCCCCTCTCCTTCCAGTCTCTGGAGAAAGTGTCCCTCGTCTTCCTCTCTTTCCATTCCTAACCTTTCCACTTGTGCCTACAATTCCACTTCTTCCCACCGCCCAAGATCTTGTCTCAATTTGGACTTCTGTATTCAATCTTTTCATATTATCCAGAGATTTTTCTCTTTGCCAATAAACAACTTCAGGTCTTCCCATTAATGCACACAAAACAAACATAACAACAAACAGTCTCTTTAAATTTGCTGGTTACCCATTGCATGTGAATTGAGTATAAACTTCTTGATTCAGCCAACTTCTACTTTTTTATTATTCCTTTTACATGTACCACAGATACCAATAGGTTGTTTTTAGTTTCTGAATACACCAGGCATATTTTCTTTACTTATTCCCTTCCTGGTGTCTTCTGCTCTTTTGACTGTTGTTGTCCTTCAAAGCCTATCATGGGCTATTTCTTCTATGAAGCCCCTCTGGCTTTCCAAGAGTAGCTGTAATCCAGCCCTCCTTTAAATGCTCACAGTACTGTTTCTTATTTACAGGGTCTTAGCCTTCTTTTATCTGCCTGACAGCTCCTCAAGGTAATGTGAATCTTTCTCATTTTTGTGTCTACCACAGTAATTTCTGTATAGTATTTAATCTACCAAAGTCACACAGCCAGTTGGACACAGCTGGATTTTGACCCATTTCTCTTGGTTCTTAGATGAGTTTTCATGTTAATAATAAGGTGTCTGTGACCTAAATAGGGAGCATTTTGTCTGTTATCTCAAGAAGAATAGCATAGCTTTTGATCTTTGGATTCACATTTTGCTTTGACTGAGATTATCTTACTCAAATAATTGCTAATTTAGCTCGGCATATTAATCTTTCAAGCCAACTCTCAACGATCAGTTGTGTTTATCTGAACTATTATGTTAAGAATCTTAGACTCATAATGGGAAATGTCGATTGCTTGATTATTAGGTAAGTATTCGGTGGGCATGGAACAGGAGGAGAATTTTGGTGCACATGTCAGGATTCTTCCATCCTGTTGGAATATATGCGGCTTGAATGATGGGAACAGACATGCTGCCTTACCTAGTCCCTTTTGGAAAGTCTCTATACATTGATGGTCACATTTTCTGGTTGGGCACATTTTAAGATATGCAATTCTATATGTGAGCCAAGCTATGCTGGAGAAATGGGATTAAAGTTGCAACCCTGGCCTCTCCTAAGCTTTGCTCACTGAGTTAGAAAATAATTACTTTATCCCATTTTGAAATCCTACCCTTCTATAAGTCTTTCTCTTGGCTTCTCAGAGGACTGGAGGTCAGGCACTTGGACATTTTGCCTTTCACTATTCTTGACAGCTTTCTCCTTAGTAATTTAAAGTTCATGGGAAATGTTTTCCCCTCGAAGGAGCAAAACTAGGAGCTTTGGGGAGATTTGATCCAAATGCTTCTGTGGCTGAGGCATAGAGCTCATAGAATGCATTTCTCTGCCTGGCTTGAGGGTCTCAATGGACTGAAGCAGGGCCATTGTGATGCCCTGGGCTCCAGGCCAGTAAAGGGTGGGCTTTAAAGTCTGCTTTCCAATCCAGACTGTAACCCTGGTGAGAGCAGGTAATATTACTTCTCTTTCACTCAGAGAGAAAAGGGACTCCCAACCCAAATTCTTTATTTCTTTTTTTTTTTTTGGTACTGGGGATCGAACTCGGGACCTTGTGCTTGTGAGGCAGGTGCCAGAAGCACTGAGCTAAATCCCTGGCCCCAAATTCTTTGTCTCTGATTGTTTTTGGCATGGACTGGGACTGCCTGGGCAGCAGGACCAATTATAGAACTCATCTACACTGAGGTCACTTTAACCTTGATGGAACAAGGCTGGGAAAAGATGTGAGTCAAAGAGCTGGGTCTGGCAGACAAAGCCTGAAATCCCAAACACTGCAGTCTGTGGTTCTGCATTGGACCTCCTGGTTCTGGTCCTGCTCCCCTGGTGCTGAGGTTTCCTGGCCTGTCCCATCATTCCATTGTCTTCCTCACTTTGTGGGTTTCTCTGAAAACAATTCTTCCTCATATCCCTGAGTAAAGTTAGTAAGGCTGCTTACACACCTCCCACTAGAACTCAGCTTGTTTCTGTCTTTTACAATTTCAGTGCCCACCCCCACCCCACCCCCAGCAGAAATTTCCAGCTAATGCAGAGCAATCAGCCCAAGTGGAAGGAATACAGATCACTTTGTTCATCACCAGTCAGGCCGTTCTCTAATAGGCAAATAAAAGCAGTTGAAACCCCACTTACGGTGAATCTCCACAGCCCCCCAAGGTCGTCGCTCCTCTCAAAGCAGGTGGGCTGCAGTCCCTCCTCCAGACAGCACTTGATGGAGGCCAGGCCACTGACCCCAGCTCCCACGATTGCCACTCGTTTGACCATGTTCTCCTGTGTGGGGAAAACGAAGGGGAGCTTTTTATGCACAAAAGCCCTAACCCCACCCTTGGCTGCTCTAACAAACCACGAAAAAGAACTTGGAAGATTAAGGGATTTATTCAGTTCACGTCTTCTGTAGGCTTCTCTGGCGCGTGAATGTGTGGAGAGAAACGTTCAGGTTGCTAGTTTAACCCCCCAGCTTAGTTATGTTGCCACCCCTCAACTTGAGCTGGCACCAGGCACAAGTGCAGTGGTGCTGGAGACTGGGTTCTGGCAGAGTGGCTGAAATTGGACCCTTGGGGGGCAGTGCTTGGCTTCCGGACTGTGCTGCAGAGCTGCAGAGCAGGAGAGGCTCACCCTGTCAGACACATTCTTCCATCTCCTACACGGAGGCGCAGATTGGTGTGGAGATGTTGCACAAAGACACACGGCGGCTGTGGGGCGGGGGGAGCAGTGAAGTTGGGACAAGGAGCCACGACACTTGTGGCCCTCCTGTGAGGGTACTGCTACAGGACATGCCTCTGTCATATGTCAAGGCTCCAGCTGTGCTTCTGGTGTATAACTTCACTCATAACCATTTTATGCTCACCAGTGGAAGAGGGAGAGGCTACCCTGATTATTTGTGGTGGAAAGGAAGGCATGGAAGACTGTCCCTCCTCTCTAAATCTCATACTGACTCACCTCTAGGGAACTGACAGGTCACTGCCTGCACAGGTCACAGAAACTAACCTGTGAGGCAATATTGATTAAACAACTGGTTCTGTCAGCCACTACTGTTTGATCTTGGGCAAATTATTTAGTCTCCCTGGGCATCATAAAGTGGAGAAAATAATAGCTTATTTGCAGTGTTTCCTTGAATGGGAAGATCCCTTTTCAGCTGTCCACTGAAGTATTGTAGGGTTGTTTCCCCTAGCAATAGGATATGATTTACCAGGGAAGAGCTAATAGATTCCTTTTTGAGGAAGTCATGCTTTAGGCCCTGGAAGACACTATAGAAACAAGAGCTGTATATAATTCCCCCTTCCTGGGTGTGAAAGGAGCAGTAACCCTACATTTAGAGAGGCAGTTGAAGTATGGGTACTGGGTCTAGGCACATCTGTTTCCAAAGCCTGTTCATTATTAGTTAGCTTAGTAACATAGGAAAACTCACCCCTTTGGGCTTCATTCTCCTCATTTGCAAGAGAGGTTATAATGCTAGTCATTTTTGTGAGACGTAATAGGCACACAATAAGGAATATCCACTTCTATGAACAAAATGACTCCCGGAAAAAGAGGGGTTTGCATAGAAAAGAGTCTATTTGCAGTGTGCACCAAAGCATGATGGCTCTGGAAAGTCAGCAAGTGTGAGCAAAGCAAGACATTTGTGCCCCTGGCAAACAGCAGGAAGCAAAGCAGATTACTTAGGGGAAGACGAGGAGCCATTTCCCAGAGCTGAGTTTAGAAAGAGGGTGAGGCAGCTTTCCTACTGTGGCTTCACTGAAACTGGAGAGGAGGTCACAGGGGAAGGCGTCACTTCTCTGGGGAGGGACTAGTAGTGTTAATCCTGCCATGGTGTCCAGGGAAGGTGTCCTGGACAGAAGGAATGGGCTTTTGTGTAGCAAACACCAGTGGGATGTATTTGTTTGGCTAGGATGTTGGAGTTTCTAATTGATGTTGGAGTTGCTAATTGAAAGCACTAGGCTGGTTCAGTAGGAAAGAACACATCTACTCCATTGTTAATCTGAGCCCAGAGAAGTAGGTTGTGCTAACTGTGGAGGCCTTGGGCAATGAAGTGAACTGCCCTATTCTCACTTTGCAAAACAGCGTATAAGCAGCAACTCTTAATCCCAGCACCTGACTCAGTAATGCAAACATCTGCCTACTACAAGCACTTTCCAAGAGTCCAGGCTCTGAAATTGGCTTTGGTCAAGTAGAATCTAGATAACAATTTTTTTGGAGATAACATAAACAGGAAACTAACTGTTCACATAGAAGGTGGAATCAAATGCCCTATGGGTGGTAGACTCAGATTCTGTGTTCATTCTCTCACTGATTCAGTCATCAGACCTTCAGTGAGTGGCTTCTGTGTGGCTAAACCTGAGGCTTGGTGTTGGAGTGTAAATTATGAAGTAGGCAAGTTGCCTTTTCTAGAGCAGAGGTCAGTCTGCTGGGGAAGTCAGTCTCAAAGATAGTGATCATAGCTTTGTGAAGTGCTAAACCAGGGGTATGTCTTATGTACTGATTGAGCACAAAGGAGAAGGTGCTAATGCTAACTTTGAAGAGTTTAAAGTTTTGTGCTGGCTAATTATCAGTAATTTAATGTTTCTATGCCTCAGTTTCCTCCTCCCTAATGTGACGTTGGAAGTATAACTAGACTCAGATATTGCAAAACTGATCTAGTGACATATATAAGGTGCTTAGCATAGTACTTGGAACATGCTAGGCCTCTCAATAAGTGTTATTTCCATGTCCTTGAGCAATTTTTTCTTTATTATCTTGTGGATATCTGTCATGACAACTTCGAGCTTTTGCAAAGTTACAGACTATTCAGAATTGTAGCCCTTGGGGAAAACCAAAAATGTTTAAAAAGTTATCTTGTGGAAAGTGAATGAAAGGAGTCAGGAAATATAAGAAAGATAATGAGAGAAAGGGAAAGATAGGAAAAGAAAAAAAAGGAGGGCATAAAGTGCTTTCAAAATCACCCTGAAGTTCTTCCCTTTCTTTTAGTTTTTTGGTTCAGATTTTCTTGGTGTATGAACAGTCTCATTGAAGCTGTTCCTCACATTTGGAAGAGCACATGTGAAAATACGCAAGAGACTAGGTAGGCGATCTAAATGTCACTACCACTCTTAGCTAAACTCAGTTCTTCTACCCACTCATTCAAGAGCTTATGTTTATATGAAACCAATGTGATTTACTAAGTGCTTTTTAAAGAGAAAGTTTTGTCCCTCTTTATTTTTTAACTAAAAATAACTTCCAGTCAGCAACTACTTTGTTTTTAGAAAGAGTGACTGTCCAAATAAAATAAATAAATAAATAAATAATAATTAATAAATAATTTTATTAGAACAGAAAGTACACTAAGCAATTTTATTAGGACAAAAGTATACTAAAGTTGCTGAATATGGGAGTACTATTTTGCATGCAAATGCAAAAATATTATTGCTTCTTATTTGGATAGTCATTAAAAAATCTGTTGACTACATCATGAAATCTGTCATTTTGTGGAAGTTTAAAAAAAACTAATGGAGAAGGCTTCATCAAAGGTGACTAAAAATGAAATAAATAAGTGGTAAAATTTAAGAAAATATAACTAAATCAGTAAGGTAGGAATCACTGAGTGAAAGTAAATTTATATAAAAAAACCAAGGGAAACTAGAGTCATTTATAGCTAAATGGATGCACATTGAGACCATACTCTTGAGTGAAATAAATAGTACACACATGTGTAAATACCGAATAGTTTTTCTGGTATGAGAAACTGAAAGTGTAAATAAGGATTAAAATGAATAATTGGTAATGTCACATAGGAAGAAAAGGTCCAAAGGGATAGGGGAAGTGGGAGGGGTAGAGGAAAGGAAAGAAGGGAAAGGAAAAAATGTGAGAAAAGGAAAAAATGGAAACAAAGTCTTTGTAAATAGAGAGAGGTGGAGGGGTTGAAGGGAGGGCAGGAGAATGGGGAAAAAATAAGAACCAAGATACATCATGTGAAGGTACAAGTTCCCAATGATAAATGTAAATGTATTGTATACCTAAAATGTACCAATAAAAGAATTTAAGGAGAAAAAAAAATACCAAAACAAAACAAACAAAAAAAAAGGAAAATAGGCCCCCCCAAAATTGCTAAATGAGTTGGGAAATCACTGTTGACTGTGCAAAAATTACTAATTTCTAACCGTAAGGTTAGAAACTACCAGGTTTTTCTATGGATTTTATACCATGTCCTCTGTTTCAAATAAGTAAGTTGTAAATATATAATGTACTAAGGTCAGATTGAAGGTCCACTTAAATGTATTGAGATAATATTAGTATATGTGCTGCCGAAGTGAGCACTGTATCGAGATAATAATATAAAGTAGTGTCAGAACAGGAGGCTGGGGCTGTCATTCCTAAACTATACAGCTTCCTTGAGTCAGTTTACATTTTCAGGAAAAGCACCGTGATGGTGTGTTAGACACTGAGTATTAGTTCAAGATATTTCACAATTTCAACATGTGATTAGGCTGTGTCCCATTCAAAATAGGTGATCAGCAACTGCTGTTGGTAATCAGGAAGGACTGCAGAAGAATCAAGGTCGGACAACAAATGAAGGGCTCACATCCTATGAGGTCGAAAGGTTGAAAAGTAGTTGGACAGTCATCAGCAGTCTCAAAATCCCATTGCTAAATAACTCTTACAAAGAATGAAGTAATATTCATTGCCTTTCCATTTGTGCATTATTTGTCCAAACAACTGTAATGCTGTTAGAACGTAAGTACTTATTAAGTTTTTGGACCTGTTGACTTAATAAGAGGAACTGTGGCTTGGGGGTACTGTGAAGCAATTACCCACACACTAAAAGACCCCTGAACCTAGAAATTTTGGGAGGCTCCAGGCAAAAATCTTACTTTCTATGTATTTTTTATTGATTTAAAGACTTTATCTTTTAAAAATATATTTTATTAGTGACTATTAATTTTACAGAACATTGGATGTCAATATGGTATTTTCATATGGACATATAATATATTATGATCATATCCATCCCTCTACTACCCTCCCTTATTCTCTCTGTGAACCCAGCAATGGATCATTAGCCAGAGTGTAACTGTTGCCTATGTGACTCACCTATGCATGTACTAAAAAGCCCTATTTATTGTTGCTTTCAGTCTCCTACACAGCCTTTTATGTGTGCATTCCTCATCCCTCTTTCTTTCCTTCCCTGCACCCTCTATCCCACACACCCCTCAGCACATGAAAATGTCTCAGAATACTGGGTGGCACAGACTCCCCAAAGATAGCATATCCTTAAACTGGCCATGATAGTTCAGATGTAATCAGAAATAGTAGGTACAGCTGGATTATAATGGGGGATAGATGAAGATGCCCCGTTAGCCCCTGAGAACACAGTGGTGCAAGCTGATATGAGACCTGGGTTTTGTGAAAGGACTGTGCTGTGGAATTTCTCTCTGTGAGCAGCAACTTTCCACCCCCTCAAGCCCATGCCTAACACAACCTCCAGATAACAAAACTCTGCCAGTTACACGGTCATAACAATTTTGCTATGACAGAGGGGAAACTCTAAGAAATAACCAGGGACCGAGACTCATTTTCTCCTTCTGTAAAACAGATGACACTGAACTGGCTATCTAGAAGTGATTTTGAAAACCCTGATTTTATAGCTTTGTGGATTTAACCCCAAGTGGGATTAGCAAAAAAAAAAAAAAAATCTGGCAATAGCATGAAAATCAAGAAATATTGACATAATTCATAGAATGGAACATGAAACATTTAACAATAGAAAACAATGACAAAATGTCAGCATACATTAGTAAAATTTCCGAGGTGGCTTGCTTCCCACTCCCCTCTTGGGCCAAATGTGAACATTTGGTAGACAACCTCCCAAACCATTGTCTCAGACCATGCTAGGAGCTATTGATGCAAGTACTGCATTTAAGAAAACTCACTGATTTCTCTTTGCATGAGAAATATGTTTTCCATTTAACACTTGGTTCATTTAGTTAGTAATTTATCCAGAAGGGTACTTACCAGTGTACACAGAAGACTCAATATCTGGTTTTACTGTGCTGCTATAGGTGCTTGAGGACTGTTCCTTACTTTGAAGCAGACTTTCTTTATGGTCCCTCTGGGATCATGCGCAGAGGCAGCTATGTTCTGGGATGTGGTTCCGCCCTGAAGCACAATAACAAAACAGGAAAATCCTGGCCCCACTTTTTTCATCCAAAGGATTCAGAGGGAACATCTGGTTGCTTACTTTATATACTCATAATTACTTGTGACAATGGTTCTGCCAGTTAGAACTCTGGAGCGGTAGAAATCAAAATAGCAGGAGCTGGTTTTGACCTGGACACAGGATGAACTTGGTCTAAGAGATAAGGAATGTTATGCAAAATTTGGAAGCCAAGCTTGTTTATATTTTAACTCATTAATTAATTGAAGTAGTGAAATGCTAATAGAAATACTGGCTGACATGCACTTCAGACTCATCTGCTTGCAAGCTATAAATTCAGTTAAGGCGTTATCAACCCCATGGCTTATCAGTTGGACTCTTCAAAGGGACAAGAATAAACTAGGACAATCATGTTAATGGCTGCTATATCAAAACTTCACTTTTAAGAGTTTTGATTGAACATTTAGAGAAAATTATTATTTAAAATAATCATATGTCTCCCATGTTTTTAAAATTCTTTTAAGTGCAGACGATTGCCCAGGCACTTGGAAGTATACAAGACAGATATGTGGGAAGAGCATGGCCTTTGAAGTCACAAGTCCTGGGTTCAAATATTGTGTTCATCAGCCAGTATGAGAGTAATCTTGGAAAAGTTGTATGTCTTTTTATCAGCTCTAGTTTCCTCAATTTAAAATAAGTGCAGTAGTACTGCTTCTAAGAGTTGTGGTGGTTAGATGAAGTAATCAACATCCAGAGACTTGTATGTAGTAAATACTGTGGATGATGGTGATGATGGTGATGATGATGTTGATGGTGATGTTGATGGTACTATCTCCCACAGTGACTGAGTGTAATGTCCAAGAGATATTGGTGGACTGAAGCAGGGAGATGCTTCTGAAAAAATAAATCTTTTTTCTTGATTTTAATACCATATAACTACAGCCTTTGGCCTTGGATCTGGAAGGCCTTGTAAATGGCTGAGTGTGTTGTTTGCTCATTGGGATCACCCAGTGTCTTATAAGACACTCAAGTCTTATTTCTGGCTTATTAAATATCTGGCAAAGAGACAGCATTGTTAACTCTTCCTGCAACTATGAAGATGATAATATTTGAATGACTTTAAATTTAATTTTTACCCAGAAAGTAAGACTTCTGGGCTACTACTAGCTCAAGTGTGTTTTTAAAAATCAAAATGTGTTTGACATTGAGTCAGCAATTCCATGAGGGATAGGGTGACAATTAATGTTGGGAGCCTAGTACATCAGCGCTTCTCTTGACCTCTAAATGGCACACACTGCAGAGGTCCCTCGGCCTTACCAGACATGCTGCTAATGGCAGCCACACATAAACATGGTCACTTTATTATCTCATTTTCCCTAATTACCCAGAGATTTGTGTTAATTAAAAATGAGATGACTACCCCTCAGAGAAACCTTCACTCTCTGCTATTTGTAGAGTTTCTTATTATTTGTACTTTAGGCCGTAAGCTGAAGAAAACTCTGTATCCCCCTATTCAAGTGGACCTAGAGCCTAATAAACTAGATTATTATGATTTTTAGGAAATATTATGAACTTTGTGCCTCCTGGGAATATGGTAGGATTGTACTTCATGGCGCCCTAGTGGTTGATTGGGAATATATGACTAGTCTGTTCAAAGAAATGTGAACAAAGTACAGTAGTGTGTGTCCTGATGGGCCAGGCCATTAAATTGCCAGTATGGACTCCATAGGATTTCTTTTCCTTCAGTGTGGTAACCAACAACCGTCTAGTAGCCTGGACACATGCGTGACCATGGAGAGCAGAGTGTACCAGCAGTGGACACATACATCAAAGAGAAATAATTTGTTCTATTTTAAGGTATTGAGATTTGGGAATTACTTATTCATGCTTAAGCCCTTATTCACCCAAGCTCTTTTGAGTGAAGCATTGGCAGGCTATTTCCTGGCTCCTTCACTATACTTCTAAATCACCTTCTCAAATCTTCCTTCCTTCCTTCCATTTTTCCCCTGCTGTGATTCATCCTTAAAGCCATAGAATTTTAGAGCTGATGGAGAATATAGAATTTGCTTAGCTTTAGTCCTAATTGTAAATTAAACCTATTGAATGCAACTTTCTTTTCTTTCTCCCTGAAAAAAACAAAGTTAATTGATCCCCGGTACTGCCCCCCCCCAAGTTAAAATGCATACAACTCCCTCCCTCTTAATTCTTTCACATAAAGCATCAAGAGGCTCCTTGCCCACACAAGTCATGTTGAAGGTTTTTGTTTGTTTGTTTTTGCTCTTTTTTTTGAACACTCTTGCAGAACAAAAGCATGGAGAAGAGCTGGAGGGAGCACCGGGCCTACTCAGGGCCAGGTATGGTGTTGAAATGTGTCTTGTCTCTGCCAGCATTGGTGAGCCAGTGACCCTCACCTCTGGCGTCCAAGGACTGTAGCAAACAGCAGCCACTTTCTTTAGCATTTCTTCAGATGTCTTTCTAGCTTGATCAGAAGCTTGTGGGAAAGCTACCATTCTCAGTGAGGGTTGTATGCTGTGCCTGCCTGAGGAGTTTGCAGTGAGTGGGAAATGTCATGGTATTTTAGAATAGTATGGTGTAGTGGGGTGAAGCAGAAGGAATCAGAACCCCCTAACATTCTTATCTGTAGAGTGGGATAATCATCCTCACTTCACCTAACATACAAGGCTTTGGTAAGGTTACATGAGGTAATATTTGCAGAAATTATTTGTAAATGGTACAGGACTCAATGAAACCTCAATAATTGGCCCATCTCTCTCTCTCTCCTTCCTTCCTTCCTTCCTTCCTTCCTTCCTTCCTTCCTTTCTTTCTTTCTTTCTTTCTTTCTTTCTTTCTTTCTTTCTTTCTTTCTTTTTCTTTCTCCCTCCCTTCCTTCCTTCCTTTCTACCTTGACATCTTCAGATATACCAGAGTGCCTGATATTTAGTAGTTATTAATAAATGCTAAATGGATAAGTAAATATCTGCCCATATGTTCTTACCTGTGAGGTTTATCTAGGGTTATTCTATGATATTATGAGTCAGGTAGAAGTTAGGAATTCAAGTTAGCCTCTTGTGTGTTAGATCCTTTAAAGGAGCCTTTCTAAGCTTTCTAAGTTGAGAATTTATTTGAAATATATGTGATTTGGGTAGCAGCTGGGGTCTCCCTGTCCCTAGGTACAAGTGCTTAATTTGACAGCTCACACAACTTCTGTTTACTTCTCTGTGGACCTGGCTATTACTGTTCTGACCCATCCCAGTCTAAGTACAGAGCTTAGCTGCTTCTCTAATCTATAGGAAAGAGCCCATCTCGACTAAATATTCCCTGTGTTTAACAGCTTTACTGAATATTCAAAGGGCTGCAGAGAGAGGTCTTATTGTACTCCACAGAGGATTCTACCATCCCAAAGGCTCTGTTCGTCCTTTTTGTTTTATTTTTCTTTCCTTCCCCCTTTAAGTAACTTGGCCATTTCTCTCTTTACTACTGAAGAATTCAATTCTACCCAAACCCATGTCCCTCATAGTCTCTCCTTTTTATCTGCCCCCCACATTTGTTTCTCAAACAAATGCAGTTCCCCTCTTATTCAGATACCTTAAATAACTAAATATCTTAATACCTAAATTAACATAATGCTTATCAACATTAGTACAATCTTATATTATTAGATACAAGTATATTACAATTATTTTAAATTTTCTTTCACAACTGTACTTTATCAACTTTTAAAAACTCCTAGGGATCATTTATATCTTTGGTGCATAGAAAGGGGACAAAACTTATTAACATGATATTCCATCCTGGATATAAGGCAGACATTGGAAAATGCTGAGATAATGTATGATTTCTTTAATTGTTTCTTCATCCTGTATACCTTTCATTTAGCTTAGGCTTGAGACCCAGATGATGCTGGCCAAAAATCCCAGTGGGGCCACTTACAAGTCACATAACTTGGGAAAATCATTAGTGTACGTCTGATCCTTGATGCCTAAGTTGTCAGAAATAAATACAGTTAAATAAGATTGGATCATTTTGTAACATGTATTGGCTTCTAGTGTTTTACCCAGGTTTCTTAGGTTGCTACAACTTGAAATAGCTCGACATCAAGAGAAATTGATCCTCTTCCACAACCAACCACCTTCTCCTGGCCATCAGCTCAAAGTAGAGAGATATCTAACAATAAAAGTTGTTTCATTAGTTGTAATTAAAATCTCTCTCCAAAAATATGTAATATATATAGGTGGACATCGAAGTATAGTATTAAAATACAAATTTTACTCTATCCTTGTCATCCTCATGAGTCGAGCAGCCAGCTCTTATAGTGGTTTAGTTGAATAGGTGGCAGAAGCAGTACCAGCTCTCAGCTTCTCTGATGACTGGACAAGTCCTTGATGCCTCTTCTGAGTCTTCTTTGAATTGCACAGCAGTCTCAGCTGCTTCTACTCAGCCTTTCTTCCTTCTCTCCTTCACTGGGAATCAGATTTGTGCTGTGGTCTGATCATTCTTCCAGACTTTTCTTACCCTCTCTCTGTTTTTCCTTACACAGGTATTTTCCTAACTAAACCCCTTAATCTCATTCTGATATCTGACCTGAGTTAAGTAGAATCAGATTTTAGAAGCTTTTTTCTTAGCTTCATTGATGCTTCCACTAATCATAGGACAGAACAAACAAGAAAATGTGCTCTGCACAGGGTCAGCACTATATGCCTCTGGGGTGACAACCAAAGGTTACAGGTCAGTAGCATCTTCCAGGATGAAAGACTGGCTTCAAGGATGACTCTTTCTCTTGGTTATGTTTTTAAAATCTTTATTATTTGAAATAATTGCTTGAAATTTAATTACATATAATAGTTTTAGTATTTCATTGTAAAAATGTCTTTATCAATGCAGAACAAATGTGACACTTTTGGCTATTGATAGTAAAAACAACGGAACTATCATACAGTAGAGTTGAAATGAAAGGTCAGTAAAAAGAAGGGTCACAAAGAAAGATTTTGAATGAGATTGTCTCCAACTAACATCTTCTGCAGAAGAGCAAACATTGTTAACCATAGCATAAGCACCGGAGCTGAACATGAGGAGGAATTTGGCCCTGAGGAATGAAAAATGTTGCAGACTAATCTCTGAAAGCAGCTTTTTCTTTTTTTGAGAGACTCCAGACTAATGGTTCCTAAATTTAATGTGCACAGGAATCATCTGAAGAGCTTGTCGAACTGCACACTTCAGCAAGGATTCTGATTCAGCAGGTTTGGGTTATTGTCACATTTAAATTCCGAACTGCCCTAGACAGTTTGGGAGTTTCAGGTTCAGCATATACGGAAGTAGAAGGACAGAGGGCATGAGTTTTCCTCAGAGGCAATTTTTTCTAGAAATCAATTATTTATTTTTCAAAAGAATATTTGGAATAATTTCAAGAGATTTGCAAAATGTTCAAGGCTGTAAATTTAATAATAATTTTGGAGCTGTTTTTTCCCATCGATTTGGTATCAACCTAACAAGCATTCAGTCCCCTCCGCTGTAGAAGGCTAATTACTAACGCTATTTCAGGGTGTAGTGGTGATGATGAAAGGAGACAGCATCTGCAAAACTGGACATTATCTTGCCTATGATAAGGCATGAATTGGCAAACTTTTTCTGAAAAGGGTTAGATGGTCAGTATATTAGGATTTGTGGGCTGCATGGTCTCTCATACTCTTGTACTCAACTTTGCACAAAAGCAGCCGTAGAAAGTGAATAAGTGTGGCTGCATTCTAATAAAACTTAAAAAATCAAGTGGTTGCTGGATTTGGCCCATCAACAGGAGTTTGCTGACCTTTGCATTTAAGGCTTATGATTTTTAATAACTGGCAAAGTAACCAGTTTTTTTAAATTAAGAATTACGTATATATACCATTTGTGATTTTTTTGAAAAAAATTTGCTTATACAGTGATGAAAACAATATTTTTGAGTGCAAATGTTGGTATTATTTCAATGAACTTTACAAAAACATTTCTACTAAGAGAGACTGTCATTACATTGTTCTAGGCCAATGGCGATGCTGCAGTGGACACACAGAGCCCTCTCTGTTGGCATGTGAGCCAGCTGCCCCAGCCAAGCTTTGATAAATTATCAACTTACATATAACAGCAAAGATATGTTATTATGTTTTTCTTTTAAGACAAAAGTTGTTAATGTCTGAGTTGGTTTTTCTAAACTAAAACCTCAGTATTCAGTATTATGTTTTTCTTTTAAGATAAAAGTTGTTAATGTATGAGTTGGTTTTTCTAAACTAAAACCTAAGTATTCAGGTTTCATTGCAGGGTTGGCATTTTGTGATAAATAAGTGGGTTTTGGGTTGCAGTCTGGGCACTCGGTCTATAAAAGTTTTGCCATCACTGTTTTAGGTCTTGAGGGCAGAATTCCTGGCCAAAATTAGGAACAGTGTCCACATAGGTTTTGAACAGATAAAAAGGAGAAATTTGCCAAGTGTTCAACATCTTTGATCTTTGTTTGCCTTCCTTCATTACCTCAGTTTAGGCTCACAGCATAGTTTATCTCTCAAAGTTCAGTTCATGGGAATAGTGGCGGTGGTGAATGTTCCATGGACAAATGTTTATCTATCATAGTGTTCAGTGTTTATTGGCATTGAATTGCTTGTCTATGTTTATCTGTCATATTGTTCAATGTTTATTGGCATTGAATTGCTTGTCTTTTTACTCTTCAGTTCCAAGAAAATGTTTGTCTTTCTTAACTGATATGCTTTTATCAGATGAAAAGATTATTTAGCATTTTGCCTTGGCTATCTGTAAGGTTAGCACTAGATATAAGGATCATTTGTTATAGAGCAGTGATGGTGAACCTTTGAGAGCCTTCAATGATAACAAACAGTTGGCTGCAGCACTCCTGCCATAGGTTCACCACCACTGTTGTAGTACTTTCCATCTACTTGAGAGATATACTTTTATTCCAAGTGTCCAAGATTATCTTAAATGTTATTTCGCAGTTATCTTTCACTGTAAATGTCTTCAAATATTTTTATTTAGCTGAAATATAAACCAAATATTATAAATAATACTCAGATCACTTATGTAAGGAGAGCACTGTTTTCTATGTAAAGATTCTCCAAAATGAACATATATATTATAATTGATGAAATAAATGATTAATAAGCACTTTATCAATAATGAGATTTTTATAAATAACCATATTGTAGGGCGAGGTTATGACCCTCAGTTCTAGAGTTCAACAAACCGGGGCTCCAAGTTGAGCTCCATCTGAAGACCAGTAATGTGGTCTTAGTCATGCTACACAATTGCTTTGAGTCTCAGTTTCATCACCTGTAAAATGGGTACAATATCCATACCCATCTCAGAATTGTGAGAATTAAAATAATATTTATAATGTACACATAGCACAATGTTTAGTCTATGATAAACACTATATATATGTACATACATATATTTCCAGCTAGCTATTACAGCATGTTTGTTTTATTTTTGCAGCAAGAAATGTGATTATTTGCTGGCTTTCTGTATGAGGCCAGTACTGGTGTTTTCTAAATTTTTCACATCCTTACCCACACCACCAGTATTTTTGAGAGCCTGACCTTTATTACCAAACAGAGTCTGTGCAGGAACACCAAGTATGTTGTGCAAGAGTTTTAAATATTTACCACAATTCAAGTTTTCCAACAATTTAAACTATAGGGCCTGCTTTTCATTCTGTGAAATTCTGTATTTTCCACATAATTTAAACCATATCAAGGCTGAAACACTGTCTACTGGATCTGTGTTATTTTATTGTACTTTTGGGAGTTTAGTGAATTTGCAAAAAGGGTAGAATAGCAAAGACATTTCCTAACAGTTTTGATTTTAAATGTAGACTTGCTTTTCTTACTTCCTCATGCTTACTTCTCTTACTTGTTCCTCATAACTCTAAAATTTAGAATATAGCTTTAATATTTCTTCTTTAAATTGTACCAACTGGCAAGATAATAAAGCTAGAGGTGTTATGTGACAGATTGGAACTAATGAAGTTGGGAAAAAAAGGCCATAAAAACAACAAGAAGCCCCAGGATTTTCAGCAGGAAAGAAGTTGGTAAATTGGATGAAGGCTTCACAGACCGAGTCTTTAAAGGCTTCAGTATCCTTTGTTTCTGGGTGAGGATGGCACTTCTGGCTCCTTCCCACTGCCCAGGCCCAACGAGACGGTACTGATAGGAATTGCAGGGCCCAAAATAGAGTTTTATAGCCAGTTTAGGATCTTTTAATAAGAGAGCAATGAAGTCTGGCTTGGCACCTATCTCCAGGGCGAGCTCATCCAGGTAGTCAACGTAATTGGTCTGCAGTATCTGGCTCAGGCTTTCTCCAAACCTGGATGAAGAATGTGAAAAGGACAGTTTCACAAACTGTTCTCACCTATATGGAACAAGGGGATTTGGTAGCTGTTTAACAGATGAAAAAATGAGTAGATGAGTGAGCAAGTCTTGAATGAATTGTGGTGGAAAGTGTGAGTTTATCCCATCAGGAGGCCCATCTCTCAGACTGAGAGAAAGCCCTCAGCTAAACAGCCATGAGTTCCTGGAAGGTCTGGGGATACGGCAGGACCGATCACTGAGGTAACTGCTCAATGTTTGTTGCGCACCTGCAAGTCTCCAGGCAAGCATGTACTAGTCCGATTGCTGCAGAGACTCATTGGACAGTACATTTTGGTAAAAGCCTAGCTCAGTGCAGTGCAGGGGAGATGCTTAGCATTTCCTTGTTAAATTACTAAAGTGCCTGGCAGCCTGGTTGGTATATACTAGGTATTCAATAAATGTCAAACAAATTAGAATTTGAACATAAAGATAACCTTTTACCCAGGTGTAAAGAACCCAAGTGAACTTTCCAGGAGTACTTGATCACTGTTGAACCATGTTCTACTTCAGGAAAAACAACAAATCCTTGAACCTTCATACCTGATTTGTTTTGATGGGGACTCTCAGCTAACTTTCCAGAGATATTCAGGCTATTGTCACCACCACCACCCCACCGTATTCCCTCTCTAACCAGAGTATGGGTGACCTGAGAAGATATAAAATCTCACACAGGCATCATACAAAACTGAAATGAAATGAAGCCAAGGAAAAATATTCTGATTTGGTACAATTTATACCCTTGTTTCTCAAACTACAGCGTAAAAGAATCATCTAGGGAGAACATAAAAATATAAATTTCCACTCTTATCTACAAAGCTTCTGATTCAGTGAGACTGGGTTGTTAGCCCAGAAATTTACTTTTTGTCAAACAGCTATGTGTTCTTGAGGGTAGTTAGATCACTCCACTTTGAGAAGCATTGCTCTAAATAAATAGTTTTTTTCAAAAACATGCTTACAGGTCAGTTCTTTTTTCACTCCTTTTGATAATGTCCTTCATCATTGCTTTCTCTGAAGGTAAGCTACACAAGCCTAGAAAATAAAAGGTGGGTTTCAGTAGTGGGACTGACTCATTATCATTGCTTTACCCAGTAGATGGCTCTTAAAATTAAATTCTGGATGTTGAATCATGTCATACCAGACATGACTGCTGCATTGCTGACCTTCAGCTGCCCTTGGAGCACAGTGTATTGCATGGATCATGACATGGAGGAGGTTAAGAGAAGAGCCTGGACTGGGTAGGCATGGCGGAGGCACTTGGAAGCTGTGTTTGAGCTCTGTTGTAAAGGTGATAGGATCTTATGAGAGAGCTTTCTGCACAAGAAGGGAAGATTAAACCTGTCCTTTGGAAAGACCCATCTAGCTGTGAATTTAGGAAAATGAGCTCCAGGGCAGTGAGCTGATAGCTGTGGGGAATAGGCACGAAGCTACTGAGGCAACCTGGTGAGGAATGAGAGTGGAGGACAGGCAGTGGGGCTAGAGAAAAATCAGGGCAGGAGTCATCATGTGCTTATGATTCTATCTCCTGCCCACAAGTGTCCTCTGAGGTACAGATGGGCTGGAAAATGCCAAGTCCCCTGCATATGGCCAGTCATTTAACATCTCAGAGTCAAGCGGTCCAGCGGCTGAGCTCTGCATCAAAGCATTCCTGCTCACACCTGCATCTTCTTCTGCACACCCCTCCTCTGCTGCCAGCACTGCTATCCACCTCATGGAGAGAGAGACCGCAAGCTGTCCTTGATTCCTCTACCCACATGGAACAAGCCATATGTCTTACTGATTTTTCCTTTATGATTCCTCAGGATTATATCCTCTTTTCACTTTGTCTTTCTGTTCTGGCCCATGCTTCATCATATTTTAGCACAGATGATTATAGTAGTTTTCTCATTGGTCTCTGAGCTTCCATCATTTTCCTCCTTTAAATCTATATTCCACATGACTGCTGATATAATGTGTGATTATAATGTCTGATAATGACTGCCTTCTTATACCCCTACATTGGTGTGTCTGGCTGAAAAGCTTTCTATGATGCAGATTCTGTGCCAGACTTAATCAAGAAAGGCCATGTGATGATATTTATTTGCAGCCAGATTTGGGAAGAACTGATAAACAGTTTATAATGTATGGCATTCAGAGTTTTTGTGTCCTGTCCCCTCCTTCTCCCAGATTAATCTGTTCTCCCCCTGCCTCCACCTCCTCACATGTCATGCTCCAGGTATGTCAGGTAGCTTGTGACTCTCACGTGCATCAAGCTTGTGTGTGCCTGTGCTCAGGTGATTTCCCTCCTGAACCCAAGAAACTCTGTCATCCAGGAAGTTTTCCTTGATCCTCTCCTTATCCCACTCTGCTAATCACCCTTTCTCTTCTTCTCACAGCACACATGCATTCCTTTATCAAAGCATTTGCCACATAATGTTAAAATGATTTGTTTAAATTTTTCCTTGTCCCACTAAGTCCCAGCACAGGCTATGTCTTCAGTGAGTTTCTGTTGAACAGAACTGAACTCTGGAAACAGGAAAATCACAGCCTTCTAAGTAGGGTGAAGTGCTGTGCAGATGCACAGAGAGAAACTGTACAGTAATTTTGTAACTTTGTAGGGACTGATGATGTTGAGCTGCTCACTCACCTTTGAAAACTCTTGTTGCCCAACGTGCTTGAAGTTCAACAGTTGGGAAAATGGAGCCTAGGGGCTGGATGAGACCCATGCACGCAAGGGTTGACTTCTCCAGGTGAGGGGGGAACATATATTTATACAGTGAGACCATATTATGCTCTACTTTGACAAGTGGCTCTTCAAGGAAAGGAAAAGAGAAAGTATAGCCTGTTGCAAAGACAATGACATCAATGTCCTCCTCCACTGTTCCATCCTCAAAGATGGCGGATGTTTCTGTGAGCTCTGTCACTCTCGATTTCACCTTGATGGCTCCATAGAGTAGGCGACTTGGAAGATCGTCATTCAGTATAGGCTCTTTCATAAGGTATCTGTGATACATAGGAAAGAAACACTCAGAAGGCTCTTCTGCTAAGGAATTTTGAACTTTCTTGACATTTTTAGAGGTAGCTCTGAAAATTAAGGGGTTTTCAAATGTCTGTAAAACTCTTGAATAATAGGCTTTTCCAACCCTTATTTCTGACTTACCATCATGTCACAAATCTCTCCTTCAGAAATATGGGAAAGTATGTAGGCGATGTTAGTTGAAGACATTTTATTTATGGTATTTATTTTTTTGAGACAAGGTCTTGCTATGTAGTTCAGGTTGGCCTTGAACTTGCAATAATCCTTCTGCTTCAGGCTTCCAAGTGCTGAGATTACAGATGTGTGCCATCACACCTGGCTCAGTTAAAGTCATTTTTTTTTTTTTTGGTACCAGGGATTGAACTCGGGACCTTGCACTTGCGAGATAGGCAGTGGCACCACTGAGCTAAGTCCCGGCCCTTAAGGTCATTTTTAAAAAGGAAGAATCCCCAATGGCTTAGATGAAATGCCAACACTTATGGTTAGTACCCAAGTAACCATATTTTCATAGTTACTGGTGATTATTATCCTATTGGTGCTTCTACCATATTTATGATATCTAGCTTTAATTATTTTGCTGTTTTATTTAATCTTATCTAATCATAAAAAGGACAGGATAAAAATGAATGGATAAAACTAGGCTTGGTGGTATTTGTTGATCTCAAATTCTGTTGCGTCTCTGTTTATGATAGGATGGATGCTGAAACAGTCTGGTTCTATTTCTGAAGGTCTTTTTGGAGGTTTGAGAACTATTTTGTCCAATCTCAGAATACAATTGCATAGCTTTTGTTATGAGATGTTAAAGATCTATTTTTTTAAAAAGGAAGGAGCTGCTATCAACTAAGGAAAAATAAACATCTAATGTTTTGCTTGTGCTTATAATATCAATGATGTATAACTTGGAGATCAACAAATATTTGTCTTTGGCAAAGAGAAGGGACTTTGTTCTCAAAAACTGCCCATGGAAAGAACCACATGATATAGAGTTAACAAAGCATAACTTATCAGATGCAGAGTTACATGCTTCCCACCACATCCCTCTGGAAAGACAACTCATGGCCTCCTGAAGCAGTCTCCTCCAATGTTGGACAACTTTAGGTGTCAGGAAGTTCTTTCCACCAATCCTAATTCTCCTTTTTGGGAACTACTTATAATTACTCTTGCATCATCTTCTTAAGCATGTTTTTAAGATATATAGAAAAAATTTAGAATTTAAACTCTAGGACCTATACAATACATATACTGTTAGGTTATAGTTCAAACTACCAGGTTAGCAATTTGGATCTTTGTCAAGAAAGGCACCTTCAGACAACCTTGCTAACCAATGAGTTTAGCAGAATAACTGTACTTGTTTTTAGGCTCCAGACCATAATTTTCATGGTTGAACCAATGATTTATCTGTTGTTCCATCATCCATTTGAGAATCATTCGTGGCAGGATATTTCGGAGCATTGATTTAAACCTAGTGTGGAACACCATGTCCCATGGATAACCATCTTCAGAGATTCGACTCATGACCCAGGAACCATTTCTGGTGCTGATGAATACCTGGTAAGCAAAAAGGAATGTAGTTTAAATTCAGGCATTGGGCGTTGTCCCCTTTGGGAAGAATCTACTCTATAGTGGTATATATTGTGTTTACTTCCAGAATTTACTGAGGTTCTCTTTTGCAGATGATTTACCTCAGAGTGAAGTCTTCTTAGTTTTCACTGCTCTTTGGCAAATTTATCGTAAAAGGGGTCCCTAGTGGCTTTTACACTGACAGAGCAGGATTTCAGGATTTCATGGAGATGTGCGAAGACCTTTGGTCTAATACAAATCTTCAAAAATATATCTTTCCTTTTTTACTGTTATTCCTCCATAGTCCAAATGCATATTTGAAGTGCTTTTCAAATTTTTGCAATCATTTTATGAGTTGTTGTTTAAGGCTGTCCTTCATAATCAAATAAGATTCATTTGCAAGGAATTTAATTCACATACGAGGTTAAGATCACAGGTTCTGAATCCAGACTGCCTACCTTTGGATCCCAGCCCCACTACTTACTAGCTATGTTGTCTTAGGTGAGTTATTTCAACCTCTCTCGGCATCTGTTTCTTTATCTTCAAAATGGAGTCATAGCAGTTCCTGTCTCATGACATTATTGTTCAGATTAAATTAAGTGAAACGTGACGTATTTAAAATATTGCCTGGAAAGTATAAGCACTGGTAGCTCTTATTATTTTATAAGTTTAGGCTCCAGCAGGGGATTTAATACAATGCCTCACATCTGGAGTGAGCTAGAATTTGAAGACAAGTTTTGTGGGAAAGGGTCTCAATCCTTAGGCTCAGGCTGCTTTCTCTGAGGCGCATGCTTCAGTCTCAGAGCCAGAGATTTGGTTTTGGTGGGAAATGTATAGATGGGCCAGCACCATCCATAGTATCTTGGACGTTTCTTTGGGGCTGTGGAAGAGGGTTCTGTATCCTTGAACACACTCAGGATTTTGGTGAGTTTAGGTTGTAATTTTAAGCTTTGTTGATGGACCTAGTTCCATCTATTACATACATAGCTCTTGTAAATTCTCTGATAAGTCTTCACCAAGAAGGTTTGAGAGCATGTTACTTTGTATAGGAGGCTTTTATTATAATGCTAGATTTATGTGATTAATCAGTATTGAAGAGACACCCTATGCAAAAGATTAATGAGTTATATGGCACACAAATATTGCCAATGTAATTTCTTAATATTGAATCTGGCATCATAAGCAAGATTTTTAACAAGCATGACCCTTTTGGGTCTTACAATCCATGGTTTGATATCTTTGGAACATCTGTTCTAAGTTTGAATCACTGACCTGACCACATACCATGGTCTAGGATGTATCTTTACATGGCTTACAGTGAAGTCAGCTTGGCTCCTTTTACTTTCCCATCATGCTCCTCTCCTCTTGTTCATATGGTAAGTTTTCCCAGCATGAGGGAGACTGGGGCCAGTAGTTCCCACTGCCCTGCTCTGCTATTCTCGAAACGCGTATAGTCATTGCCTCATCACTGATTCCTCGTGCTGAGGTATTAAATCTTTGAAGAGTAAAATGTGACTTCTTCTCACAAGAAAGGTGAGGACTTCTTGGATCTAGTGAAATTTATTTATTTATTTGCTTCTGTTTAACCTACTGTGTTGGAAGGTTGGCTCTGACCAGTGGTGACTCTGAGAGGTCCAGTGTAAACCCTTCACTAGTCTGCTGGGGGGGCACCATGTTTGATTATTGCTTTTGGTAATCTCAAGCCCTCAAAGTATAAGACTTAGGATAGCAAAGTTTTGCTGGCCATGAGCATGGTTATGGTTAAGTCTTGTATGGGCAAAGACACAAGGCTGAGGAAGTAGTTTAAGAGCAGTAGGGCTCTTGAATTAGGCCTTATTGAGAGGGGATGCTTTGGGAAAGGACCATTAGCAGTTTTTCCATCTTTTCCCAGATCTGTCCTAGAATGAATTTACTCCTGACCATCTCCATCAACATTACTTATATTTTTGATGTTTGACTCTTTGGCAGTTCAGCTGGTGTCATTTTTGTGCAAGTACAAAGATAAGTATTTGGAAGGCCTCAGAAAGTACCTCAATACCTATGATCTTGCTTTGGGATTCTCCCCACCTATTAAATCTTCTTTTCATGGTAGCTGGGTCACTGAGGATTATCTATACTTAAGATAGATTTGCATAGCACTAAATTTCTAAAAGTCACTCCCCAAATAGGCACACATCAGCTTTTCATTAAACCCCCTGGGAAAAAACTAGGCCCTTTACACAGAAAATCATCTAGTTGAAATTTTCTATTTAAAAAATGAGGGAACCACAATCTAGAGAAGGATAAAGGCTGATTAGTGGCCCAGCTGGAAGATCAACTGTGGCTTCTTGAATTCCAGATTTTCTATGATAGCACAGTGGGCATCCAACCGACTAATTAATGAGTACAGGAGCCTTGATTTATAGAGCTTGGATTCTCGAATGCACCTCTTCTCCTTCGTCTCCCCCATAGTACAAGTTAAGTAGAGAGCATTGTACCTGAGCAGCATTTTTACTCAGCTCAGAGGCAATATCTGAGGCTGAGTTTCCTATTCCAATCACCAGGATGCGTTTTCCCTCAAATCCAATTGGGTGCTTATATTGACGGCTATGGAAATACTGGCCTTTGAACCGCTCAATACCTTCAAGGGAAAGAAAAGTCTGTGAACTTCCAAGTAAACAGTTATGTCAAGCTGCCTTTATAAACTTCTAAACTTTTTCTTTGTAGGGTCAGTTATTTGTCTCCTCTCTTCCCCTCTTACAGGAGTTACAACATCAGGGTCAAATGGCAAGCTCAAAGTAAGAATCCATAAGAAATATTAGGTACCATTCATGCAGTGCAGGACTCCAGAGAGGCTGTATGCAGAGACTGGAGCGTATGCTTAGTGAACAAACCACTGGTTTAGATGAATGATGCAGGGTCAGATGCTGCTTCTGCCTACCTATTCTCTTATTTTGGACTGTCTAACGACACTTTAGTATCACATAGCAGATATTCCTTTAAATATTTCTTAAACACGTTAGTAAATGCTGTCATGTAATTTTGTAATACAAGATTAACACTTATTCTGATCTTGTAAAAGCAAATGAAAACTAAAATAAACCAAAAACACAGAAATTGCACATTCAGTACACCAATAACTGATTGGTAGTTAATTGCAGATAAGCCTCCTGTGTTCTTTCACATTTCCCTGGAATACATGACTTCATTAAAGTATTTCCCTTTCATGGTGGAGTTACTTGAAAGGATCTTAATCATTGGTTCATAAAATGAGGTCCCTTGGAATGGATTAGAAATACAGAACTGTGGCCCCAGCCCAGAGCTACCGATTCAGGAATCCTAGGTGGATCCCAGAAATTTGTATTTTAAAGTCTCCCCCATGATTTTGTTTGGGAACCATTACTGTAGACAAGTGGGGCTCAATCCTAACTGCATTTTAAATCCCTCAAGCAAATTTGATTTCCCTGGCTCTACCCCATAGTGCTTGGCTCTTTGGGGACTGTACTCAGGCATCAGGGATTCAGAAGCTCCACTGGTGATCTGATGTGAGGCCTTGATCCACAACCTGAGAGTCCTGAGAAGGAACTATATTTTCTAAGGAAAGGGCCTGGGGAGCTTCAGGACTGATGGTTGTAGGGCTCCATTCCTACACTCCTTTCCCATTACTGTCCTAGAGCAGCATTTATTTTCAGGACTTCTGTCCAGTAACCTCTGAAGGGAAAGACTTCAAGGACCAAACAAATTTGCATGTATTCAGTAGGATAGAAAAAAGCCAAGATAGGCACATGGCTAGAAGAGCCTCCCCCATAGAGAGCTAATTAGTATGAGAATTCTCTGAAATTCTGGAAAACACGTAGTGACTTTGGAGGAAGTTAGCAGGACTCTATCCCAATCTTAATATTATCCCCTGTTGCAGCAGCCAGTCCTGCCTGTCAATCTGAATTGGATATAAAATTCCTAGAAATCTATTCTAACAAGCAAAGAATCCCCACAGCCCTCACCTGGAAATGACTTCAGTGGGATGTGTGGCTGGATGTGGTGACCACTGCAAACCATAACTGCGTCAAAGACAGCACTTTGCTCCTTGCCGTTGCTCTGAGTAACAACCTCCCATTGGCCAGATGATGGGAAATCTGGGTGTTTCTTCACAGTAAGAACGGTTGTCTTGAACAAACATAGAGAAGGCATCATTAACAAGTACTCTGGGATAACATGGATCTTGTCCAGGGCCTTGGAAGTAGGGATGGATAGAGTACAATGTGTAACTCAAGTTTGTTTCTTTTTTAGAGTTCATTGCAGGCCACTCAGTGTGCCTGTCTCACTCTTCCTTGGCAGGCAGGACTAAGGACATGATGCTTTGTGCAAAATTCCTGAGTCAGCAATGGGAACCAGTGGGTAAAGGGTGCTGCCTTGAATACAGACTTGAGTGAGAAAAGAGAAAGAAGGCAAGGTCTGGACAAGGAAACAAAATGCATGTAAGTCATGGAAGTAGTCCACATAGTGAGCATTTGTCAAGGATCTTTTATGTGTCTATGTCAGTATAAACTCTGGATTAAGGAAGATATTTCATGGGAAGTGCTGTGGAGAGTGCCTGGAATATTGTCAGCCCTCCTCGGAATGGTAGTTGTTAATGTTAATTATTTTTTAAGAATATATGATGCTAGCACTACAATTCATGATCTCATCTGAATGAAATAAGGTATTGTCTGGAGGTCTACTAGTTTTAAAAATGTTTGTAACTACTTCATGTCCATTGTATTTAAGAAACAATGTCAAATGAAAGCAAAACTTGTCCCCTTTTAGAGGAATGATATGCTTCTCTTTGTGTTTGCAAGTATTTGAAACTGTTATATATGTATTATGGTTTGAATAAGTGTCCCCCAAAGGCCCATGTGTTAAAGATTGGGCCATGGGCCATGAACTACTGGGATGTGGTGCAACCTGAAGAGGCGGGGCCTAATGGGAGGAAGTTAGGTCACTGGGGTATGGCCTTGAAGAGGGAAGATTGAGACTCAGGTTCTTCCTCTGTCTTTGCTTCTTAGGCACTATGAGGCAGGCAGCATTGCCCCACCACTCTCTCCCTCAATCATGATGTATTGCATTGCCACGGGCCCAATGGTAATGGGGTCAACTGACCATAGACTGAAATCTTTGAAACTCTCAGAATCAAATCTTTCCTCTTTTAAAGTGAGATATCTTGTTATTTTGTTAGAGTAACTAAAAGCTGATTAATGAAATATACCTTGCAAATTTTTTAGATATTTTTCAAAATACTGGGTTGGTGATTTTTGGAGCTGTCTCAGTTTTAAAAGTGTATATGAATAGAAGTGGAAAGCTTGCAAAAGGGCTTTAAAATAGGCAGATAGTTTTCCCTTGAGAGTAAAGATTTCAGATTTGTAGTTTAGGATGTCATATTAACTAATGTACTGTAAACCTTCGCTAGTCAAAATGTGGTTGAAGGACCACATCACCCAGGAGCTTGGTAGACACGTAGAACCTCACTCTTCACCCTTTGCTTGTGTAATCAGAATCCATATTTTACCAAGCTCTCCAGGTGATTCATACACACACTAAAGTTTGGGAAGTGCTGATAAAGATTACATTGTCTTTTAGTTTTAAGCTTTACAGTTTGTCTATGGATTTTTTTATATGAGGAGACATTCATTTTATTAATTTTTGATGGACTGTAGATTATCATGAGAGTAAACATCAGTGAAGGGGAAGACATTTTCATACAGCATTTGTATTAGTATTTTTGGATTGTTAGCTATATTGTTATCTGCTACTTCTTGAATTGAGCCTTAACATTTATATTTCTATCAGCTCAGAGACCAATAAATGGAAATAACTCTGCCCAACCCCTCTTCACTCTCCAGAAAACAATGTCAGCAATCACACAATAACCAAGAGAAATATCTCCCTGGCAACTTAAACATGATCTTTAAAATAACAGATAATATAAATTACATTTCAGAAGAGGGCAGTATGCTTCTTAAGTAGATTTACAGAATTTTGTGGACAAAGACCTGCAAAAACTTCTAATATTAAAAAAAACCATGTCTTTCATAGGATGGATATACCAAGAACAGGGAAAAATTACATTAAGTAAAACTAGACATTTTGATATATTTACGGATATAGAATTCCATCAAAATAAGCTGTAATACATTAAATATGATACAAGCCTGGTATATACAAAACTAGAATTACTAAGAAAATGAGATGTGCAGGTCTGCAGATGCCCTACTGGGGTCGCGAGTCACATGGAACACGCCGAATCAGCCTGCAATTCACTGGACACCCCGCGGCGCTCCTCTGTACAACCACCTGGTTCCACACTACAAAGATGCAGAAGACACCAGACCAGCAGACCACGGTACTGGGTCCTGCCGCTCCCGGCCCAGAGGTAGGGGCTACTGAGCCGCTGTCCTACTGCTCCTGGTCCAGAGGAAGGGGCTCCCTGGCCACCATCCCTCCTGCTGCTCCCAGCACAGAGGAAAGAGCTGTTGGACCACCTTCTGTCCTGCCACTCCCAGCCCAGAGGAAGGGGCTTCTGGGCCACCATCCATACCACTGCTCCCGGCCCCTGTCCCATCTCTCCCAGCTCAGAGGAGGTGATCCTCACGGGTGCCAACAGCAATCGAAATGAGAAAACACATAAATAAATCTCAAAACCAGACTTCCAGATCACCTACAGCAACCCCAAAGGGAAATGAGCTGGAACACTCTGATACTCAACCACCTGGACCCACTGAACTGGCAACAAAAGGGGATCTGGAAAAAATGAAATCA